AACTCCCCAAAACTGTCCTTCTAAGACATGTATGTACACAAGTAAATCTGTGGGCAGTAAACACAGCACTCAAGACTGTGCCTCTGTTGATGCCTGCTGCACCCCCGCCCCTCCGCCCAGCGCTCACTGTGCTGCTCGCTTTGTGGCAGGGTTGCCACGACTGTCCTCACACGTGTCACTTTAAGGTGTGTCCGCCTGCAGGATCGTGGAGAAAGGGTCACAAACCTTCCAGGGGGCCCTGGAGAAGCTCCCTAGCTGCTTGGGATTGTTGTTGATTTCCTTGTAATTAGTAACTGAAAAAGGCTCTCCGAAGGTGTCCCCCCCAAGCCCGCGCTCCCTTAGCTGCTGTAGGGGAAGGGGCGGTGCAGCCCCCGGTGGGGTGGTGAGACCACAGGATCGCTGAGGCCTGTCTCTGCATTTGCCTTGGGCGGCTGCCCTTCCCAGGAGCTGGGCGTCCCCACAGCAGCGAGGAGGGGCTGTTTTGTATTTCTGCTGGAGAGGCGGGGTCTGTGATGAGAGCAGGGCTGTCAGGAGTCTGGGTCAGTGATCCTGTTGGAAAAAAGTCTTGTTTCTAGGAGTGAACACAAATATCAAAGCCACGCAGGGAGGAGGAATAATTGCAGAGGTGTGAGCTGAGCTAATAAAAAAGGCAGGTGGGGTCCCACACCTCACACCCTTAAAGGTCGCTCCTAATGTGATTTCATGTCATTGATGCTGACAGTTTGGTGTTTAATCAATGTGGTAATGAAACCGGATTTTTAAGGTGAGCACGAAGGACTGTAGTTCTGAGATGAGTCTGCTTGTCCAACTACCTTGCAGGAAACAAAAACTAAATTTCACGATTCCTAACTTTGTGCTTACGACCCGTTTATGCTTGTGATAAACAGCAGGATGAATCCTTTGTAGAATGAGTGTGTATTAGAGGTACAACTGCCAAACTAGAAAAGTTTCCTCTAACCCTGGGCTTGTGATGCAATTAATGGAGATACTAATTGTGGTCATGCTTGAAAATAACTTTGCCTGTAGATTAGGGTCTGTTTGCCTTCCTGAAGTTAGGGAGACACTGTGTATGGGAAAGGTAACCTTGTGTCTGAGTCTCAGACTATAGCTGATGGGATTGAATGGATCTTGTGATAATATATTTGGTTTAAAAATAGTCATAATCAATTCAGAAATACCTGCAGTTCATAAAACACACAGATGTCGTGCTCTGAAGATGAAATTTTGTGCATATGTTGCTTATATTTTAATATCTTTTATAAAACACCCATCCCTACTGTTTTCCCATAGTTGGATTCAAATTACGATCGACTCGTTTCTTTTCCATTTTGGCCACAGTATCACAGCTGTGGTGTGACCTGTGGGCGTCAGGCAGGTAATGGCAGTCTGTGCCATTATGTCAGATGTTCCCGTCTGTTCCCGTGGCTCCGAGGCTCGGGGCCACCCCCCGTTAGTGACTTGCCAGTTAGCATGAAGGGTCTCGGGGATTTGCTGAGAGATGCTCACAGACTCCCTCACTGAGTCTAGAACCTTCCTGTCCTTCTCAGTTCCCTAGGGCATGTGGTTTGCTCTGTACAGTGCAGGGCGTCTCCTGCGCCCCCAGAGGCTCTGGGCTGTGCAGGTGGAGGGTTCCGTCAGGCAGCCTGGCCTGTGGGTTTGCCTTTCATTCCCCACTCCCGCCACAGACCTGCTCCTTGTTACTTTATGCATTTTCAGAAAGAGAAAACAAGAACCATATACTTAATACCTGTTTTAAAATTCAAAACATAATTCCATACCTAGATAAATGTAGCCAAAAATTTCAAGGAAATGGAAGACTGGAAAAACAATAGCTTTTTAGTTTTTATCATATATGTGGGCTTCCACATATTTAGAGCCAGAAAAAGCATCGTCCATAAATGATTAATGTTAGGCAAATGAAACTATTTTCTGTCAATAAAATTTTCAATTTAGTCTTAACATCTGTGTAATTGCATTTTAATATATGAATGTGTGTGTAAAATGCTAGTCCCCGATCAGGTCTGTGCTGCTCAGGTCATTGGGCTGGGCTCCTCTCCTCGGGAGGGAACAGCTGTGGGCCCCGTTTGGGGGTGTCTGGAAGGTCACCTGTGTGTTCCCCTTGATACCTGCTGGGTTAGACAGAGTGAGCCAGGCTCTACTGTTTACTGGAAATTTAAAAAATGTCCTCATAAATGAGGGAAAATGAATCTGTTCTCTTGGATTGTTTTGTGTGTCGTGCATCAGGTTGTGGAAAGCTGTGTTTGGAATATCTGGCATACGGTACATGTTCTGAATGGGCTGCTCGCTTGCTCTGCCGAATGTTCTAATGTTCCAAATGCCCTTCTAGTATGATTTAAGAGACTGTGTTTGGCATCAAGCTTAGTTCAAAGCCAACCATGAATATTTTCCATGTTGTTTCACTGTTTTGTAATTTTAAAATGTGTCCATGAAGGGAGTTTCCTTAGCATCACTGGTGAGACCGTTGGAAATGTAGGAACTCAGGACCCAGCCCGAAACCCCTGAATCATTATCTGCATTTTAAAATCAGGTGTGCTTTAAATATCCGGAATTAAAGTACCCCAGAATTAAAGTATCATATTAAATTTGTTCTACAAATTCATTGTTCTAGCAACTTGATACCTCACCATGACTTTGCCTTTTAGAAATACATACAACAGGTAAGCTATGAATTTAGTACTTAAAAATATACATGCCTGTATTGATTCCCCAATTACATATTTTGTTTCCCATATAATTCTAGTGTCTATAGTGGTTTTGTGGGTTCACCTCATCTGCTCAGCATCAGGGGAGCATTATTGAGTATTGTTTGTGTTAAAAATGATGCGGGTCACTCAGCGAGGCCCAAACCGGTTCTCTTCCCTTCCACTCTTCATTGTGGGTCATATTATGAGCTCTGTTCATAGCCTCATGGGAAACATGGATATTTTTCTTTGTTTTTCACAAATCAGGAGCTGTTGACCTTCGGGGACGTGGCCGTCCGGTTCTCCCAGGAGGAGTGGGAATGCCTGGCGCCCGCCCAGCGGGCCTTGTACAGGAGCGTGATGCAGGAGAACTACAGCAACCTGGTCTCTGTGGGTGAGGAAAAGAGCTCCTTTCCAGAATTCCTGATCCAAACTTAGAACTTTTATATTCTTACTTTACAGAATAGCTCCGCTGAACTTTAGCTTTGTATGAAAGTGTGTCAGATCCTTGAATTCAAGGAAAAAAATTGGGGATTTATTGGTGTAGAGACAATTTTCCTGATGTATTTTGACTTAGACCTCCCCTCTCTGCAGCGACCTGTGTCCTTTAGCCTAGGTTCGTGGTAGTTCCCGAGTTTCAGGGGCGTAAAGTATGTTCACCCCATGTTCAGTCCTGAAAGCCACACTGACGGAGAAGCCGCAGGGAAAACTGAAAAAGAAATTTTCATCTAACTTACTCGTTTCTCCAAGGGAAACTAGTTGTTTTAGTCTCTAATAACTGCCCCATCTCTGTGAAGTGCATTGACAGTTTGTTATTTTACTTTTATGGTCATTGTTTGGGTGACCCTTGCTCTGTTAATTTTATGAGCAGTAACTTGTAAAAACTCTGTTTCTGGTCCAGTTCAAAGGGTCCTGATGAACATTATGTCCCGAGAAGTTAATTCTTCTTATACGCGGAAGTTGGTACAGTTTTAATATCCTCCTTTCTCCTCCCACTCCCCACAGGCCCTGGAAAATACCAGTCTGCTCTGGTCCTTTTTTTTCTTTTTCTTTTTCATTCCACATTAAAGTGAGATCACGTGGTTTTTGTGTTTCTCTGGCTTACTCTGCCTACAATAAAGACCACAAGGTTTATCCCTGTGGTTGCAAATGGCAGGCCTCCCTCCTTGATGATTGCCTAGGATTCCACTGTGTGTGTGCACGTGTGCGTAGGGGTGCATCTCTCGTGTATCCACTGATGGACACTTGGCTTGTTCCCAGGCCTTGGTTGGTGTAAACAGTGCAGTGAATACACACTGCATAAATTTTCTCTGCAATCCTGATTTTCTCACTTGTAGATACACAGATACCCAGAGGTGGAATTGATGGATGACCTGGTAGTTGTGGAATTTCTGAAGAGTCCTCATAGCTGTTTTTTTTTAGAGTCCCTGTTACAGGTTACATTCGTGACACACTACATGGATCCCCCCCCGCCTTTTTTTTTTTGCACCCTGACCAGCCCTGTGCCTCTTTCTCATCGTAGCCATGCTGACGGGTATGAAGGGAGAGGTACTGTGGTCTGGACGGCATTTCCCTGATGAGCAGCAGTGTTGGTCATCTTTTCATGTGTGTGTCATTCAAAATCCATCTTTGGAAAAGGACTATTTGGGTCTTTTGCCTATTTTTTTAATCAGATTGGTTTTTACCTATCATTTTCTGTGCGATCCTATATGTAGGACATAAACTTATCAGCTACATATTCTACCAGTACTTTTCTTACATGCTGTAGGTCGCCTGTTCATTTTACTGATTGTTTCTTGAGCTGTTGGGTAAGGTTTTCATTGACTAGTCTGATGTGGATGTTCTACGTTAAGTTTGAGTTCCCTTGCTTTGATCTTTAAGATTTGTGTGTGTGTTTGTGAGAGAAAGGTAAGGAGAGAGAGTTTATTTTTCTTCATTAAACATCTTTGTTCATGCATTATTTCCCCTTTCATTTAATTCTCTATGTGCTTGGAGGTCAGTGAACTTTTTTCAGTAAGAAAATTCTGAATTACTTGTCACATAATTTCTGTGTTTCTATCTCTAGGGTTAGCCTTTGGATCATTATTAATTTCCATTGGTTTCATGATGATCTGTCTCTATGTGATCTTTGATTCCTTGAATTAAAAATCAGGAAACTTGAAGAAGGGGTTTCCTCTTTGAGATTATATAGTTCACTTCACCAGGGATAGACAGCTTGGGGTGACGGATGGCCCATCTGATGGTGTCCCTGGGCAGGCAGTGCTTGATAGCAGCACCATCGCCTGGCCTCTGCGATCAGGATTGTAGCTGGGCGGCCCCGGGGTTGCACTCCTGCAGTCAGGGCCCCGGGTCAGCGCCCCTTCTGGGTGGGGGGCATGCTCGCTGTGCTCTGTCACCAGGGAGCCGTCATCTGAGCCCTGCAGGCTGCCTGCTCAGGCAGGACGGGGCCACTGGGTGTACGTGATGCTTGGGCAGGAAGGGATGGGCCCTGTGGGCCCTCCGGTCTGATGGGTGCCTGAGCAGACAGTGCCCCCGGCTGGATTCTGCGTCTAGGCCGTGCTGCAGGCCGGGCTTTGTGGTCAGAGAAGGCCACCGTGTTCTGCTGTAGGACAAGGGCACCAGCTGTGCTGTCACTATAGAAGGGGGCCCCCAGATGTGTCCCCAAGTTGGGTGGGGGTACAAATGATGGTCCAGGATCAGTCATGGATGCTGTCAGGGCTTCCTTGTTGTTTGAGTCCACGGGCTCTGCTCATGACGGTGGGGTTCCTGGCTGGTCTGTGTGCCTGGATGAGGTCACGGATTGTGTTCCACGCTCCGTTGTGGGTGGGGCAGTAGGCTGGGCTCCAGGGCTGGGTGGTGCCCTCCGCGTGTACCAAGGCTGTCCAGGGTTACTGTTCAGGATCCCTGGGCATGTGGCCTCAGAGACTCTACTGAAAGTTGGGCAGCCCTGCTGGCCTGGCTCTGCATCCATGAGTAGCTGTAGGAAGGGCCCTTCAGCTCTTTGGGTTCTCTGCTCACGTGGGTCTGGGGGCTCCCTCAGCAGGTGGATGCAGCTTTGCACTTGGTTGTCTGCCCAAGTACTGTTAAAACATGGTTTCCACAGCCAGCAGAACTTACTGGCCATGGCCCACATGGGGTGGAAATGTCACCTGCATTCCTTGGCCAGATGGGGGCCTGTCTGGTCTCTGAACATGCACAGGTCCTGTGGCTGGTTGGGGTCTCTGCTCTATCTGATCCCCACAGTGAAGCCCCAGAGATTCCCCTAGTGATTCCTGGGAGGAACGATGCGAGTGGGCTTCCTGATTAATGTGCAGCAATGTTGGCGGTCAGGGTGTCCACCTTAGGCTCTCTTGTTCCCACTGTAGAAGCTGTAAGTCTTGGGGTGCCCCATGCTGTCCCCCTCCCCTTCTGTGGTTCCACAATGGTATCTTGTCTGGGATAGTTTCTCGTTGGTCTCCTTGTGAAGGGGATTGAAGTTTGGAATGACCCATGTTTCCATTATGACGTTGTCAGTCGTCCAGATGGTAGCATTCAACTCGGTGCCGTTAAGTGACTGTGGGGCTGAATTCATTCAGATGTAATCAGACAAAGGTCTATTGCCAATAAACTGAGGCATGTGATTGTGTGCCTGTGTGACTGTCAACCCTATTTTGTTAAAACTTTTCGTATACTTACCATCGTTGATTGTTGTTTCAAACTTTCTGGGTAAATACATTCAAAGTAGTCTTAATTCACCTCTATTTGTTTATCAGATTATATTCTGTGTTTAAGAGAAACAATTTTCTATGGTTGAGAGGTACTTTTTGTGATTTGAAGGTAATTCTAAAATGTATAACTCACTCAAGTTTTATAAAAATTGCTAAATTGTGGCAAAGAATTCATTTGAAAATTTTCCATCTTAAGCACTTCCATGAATACAGTGCAGTAGTGGTGACTCTACTCACCTTGTACTGCGATGCTTCCCTAAAATTTTTCTTTTTACAACGGTCACAGCTGAGTATTGAAACAGCTGTCCCGTCCCCTGTCCTCCCGTCCCTGGGAAACATCGTTCCATTTCCCTGGGGTTGACTATTGAAATGCTGCACATGTGAAATCGTACATCTGGCCGTGAATTGTTTTGCATGTGTATCAGCGGGTGGGATTGCTGGTCAGAGCACAGTTCTGTTTTATGCTTTCTGGCCTCCACACTGTTCTCCCTAGTGCCTGAGGCGTTTTGTGTCACCACCCATCCTGCACAAACTTCCTGTACCTCCTCACAAGCCTCGGTCGTTTCCTGTTTGCCCGATGGAAGCCACCCCAGTGGATATGAGCTGACTCATTCTGGCTTGGCTTTGCGTTTGCTAGTGATTGGTGATTTCAGCATCCTGTCGTATGCTCGTGGCCTATCTGTACATTTTCTTTGGTGTTACTTCTGTTCAGCGCTTTGCCCATCATTTAGTTGGGGTAGTTTTGAGCTTTCAGGCCTAGGTTTTGAGGTCGATTATAGTGCACAGTTGATAAGAATGCCCTATTAGAGGCATTAGAATCAGCACTCCCAGCACGGGTAGGTCTCGGGGAAGGCGGCACAGCGCAGAGAAGGCGAGTAGGGACCCTAGCATCTCACTGCGCTGATGGACAGTGCCTGCTGTGGGGCTGGGGGGAATTGGTAACATGGGTGAATGTTGAAACGACAGTGTTGCTCATGTGAACGCTCCGTAAGAGTGTATGTCAGTAATACCGTACTTTAAAAACAAGTAAAAATAAAAAAAGAACGCCTTATTATATCTGTGCTTCCAACACCCGTCCTCTGTTTCTGTAGGCGGCCTTTTCCTTTCGGCAGTTGTTTGATGTGCAGACATTCGGGGAGGGGTGGTCCCATTTATGCACTTCGGCTTTGTTCTCTTTCGTTTTCATGTCACATTCAAATGCAGTGTTGAAAGATTTCCCGCCTGATTTCTAGCAGGGGTTTTCCTGTTAAAAGGCTTAGATACTTATTGTGTGATCTATAACGAGTGGATTTTTGTCTGAAGAAATGGTTTAAGCAAAGTGTCCTCCTTCGTTCTCCTGCATGTGGACATTCATGTTACTCCCGACCAGAGCTGAGGGGCTCCCTTGCAGGCTGTGCCCTCGGCTCTCTTGTCGCAGCTCACTTGGCAGGACACGGCTTTAATGTGGCCTCTCTTGTTCAGCTAGTCTGTGTGTCCCTGTTTAGGCAAGTCCTAGTGTCCCTGGGTTAGTGTCGCCTTGTTACATATTTGATACTGAGTAGAAGCCTTACACTTAGTCCTTGGAGTTTGTATTTATTATCCATGCTCTCCGGGTTTTAACGCATTTTAGGATTTGTTCTGTATTTCTGGGGAAAGAATGTCACTGAGATGATATGGTTTGGATTGCATCCAATCACTACTTTTGCTA